TTTTACATTCATGGAAACAACCCAATGAACTACACAGTTTGATTCTCTAGGAGACTATAGCAGAAAGTAATGTTGTTACGCACTCGAGCATGGAGAATGTCATAGATGATGGCTTGACAGTCCCAAAGAGGATCCAACTCGGATACACTCAGCTCGATAACAGTCTTGTTATCGCTCTCCACATGGACTTGAATAAGATTGAAGATATCATTGTGACACTAAATTTTTCTCCGTGTAGTGAACAATTTTCAAAATTTTCTTGAGTTTTTTTGTATTTGAGGTTACTCGTCTTTGGTGAATTTTTTAAACATTTTAAGCAGATTTTTTTTCTTTCTTTTTGTAGATTCTGTTGATCTAGATACATTTAAAAAATAAAATATTTGTGATTTTTTTTATGTAAAAAAATTGAGTAAATATAAAAAATTCTGTACATTTTTCACAAAAAAAAAAAAACCTACTTTTAAAAATTTAGAACCAAACACAATAAATGTTATTTAGTTTAAAAGTTGTTTTTTGTTTTTAAAATTTGTAAAACTTAAATTTATAAAGTGATCCCATTCATCAAATTTGCTGAAGTCGCCACTCTTATGTAATCCCTTGTCTTAGTAATTTGTAGAGGTAGTAAATGGGCGGCTAAAAGAAGTTAGGTAATAAAATAATTTAACCCAACCCGCCCATTTACTGGTTGGTTTGAATGAGTTGGGTTAAATTGAGTGCGAATCAGACAAATCAACTTGACTAACCCGTTTACTTTAATGAACTTATTTTGTAATACATTCAAATTTTAAAATAATAAAAAATGGTGCCAAACAAAAAATTTCATAAATAGTTTTTAGAAAATTACATACACATGTATATAGTCCTATCTTATGTTTTAAACATACCCATCAAGTGAGTTCACATTCCTTGTATCACCAGTAAGAGGTAGTTTGTGATAATAATAATAATAATAATAATAATAATAATAATAATAATAATAATAATAATAATAATAATAATAATAAATAAAAATAAAATTGAACCTAAACACATATATAATAATATATATACATATATATTGTGTTTCCATATGTATAGACTAGCGGGTGGCACACGCGTTTGCGTGTATAATTCAAATAAGTAAGAATAAAAACAAATAATAAAGAAATTAATATTCTAATATGTATATGTTGCCTAAGTGATGCGAGACTTCTTAATGAAACCGAAGGTCTTGAATTCAAACCCCTTTCAACACTTTATATAATTTTTGTTTTTAGGATAAAAAAAAATATGCCACATGGCATGAGAAGAAGGCTTGGATACCAAATCTAGCCTTCACTTAATAATAGTATAGATAGATAGATAGATAAATGTGTATATCTTCAATTTATACTATTATTAAAAGTGAACAATTCACTTGATTTTATGAACCTCTTCTCTCCTTTTGCCAAGTGACATTCTTTTCTATACTTCTATTTATACTATTATTAAAAGTGAACAACTCACTTGATTTTATGAACCTTTTCTCTCCTTTTGCCAAGTGACATTCTCTTCTTGCGCTAAGTGTCAATTTTTCTATTCGAAAGGAGAAAAAAAATCATAGTTACACAAGGGGGCATCAGACCTCAACCAATGATCATTGATTGACATAATAAAGAACACTTTTCACCACTTAAACAACATAGAAAATATATTTTAAATTTAAAATTAAAATTTATATTTTAAGCATACCCATCAAGTGAGTTCACATTCCTTGTATATATAGATGCATGCAAATAGAGCTAGAAGTATTTGAAAAAAACAATTTAAAAATCGAAGTTAGAGGGAGAGATAAATATTGTTCAAAGAATTTTGTTGCCAAACACATTATATCCAAATAATCAGAAGCAAACCAGATTAAAAAAATATATAAATTTTTTTTTAAAAAAAAAAAGTTAGAGAGAGATGCGGTGGGTTGTAGATAATTTGTTTTGTTTTGCTGCTGTTTCATACCATTTAAAAAACTTGTACTCATTCATTATTCATACTATTCAATACAGAGTTTCTCTTATCCCTCTCTAATATCATAATAGGGTCTAAACCCATAAAATTATAGGCAAATTGGCGGGTTCGGGTCCATCTTCCCAGCTCTAGAAAATTTGTAAAGGGGATTCGAATTTGTTTAACTTTCGTTTCCATATAAAACTTAATATATTTGATTTTTCTTATCTTTCATGTTTTACAAATATTTTTAAAATCCTAAAAATTTATAAATGGACAATTATTGTCGTTTTTCTACCCATCTTTCGACATTTTCCTTCCTCTCTCATAAGTGCAATTTGTCGTGTGTATTTTCATTCTTTATGCTCACCAACTTGTGAGTCGACAGAAAATAGAAAATTCCAATGAATGTTTGTGATAACATAGCTCTTGCCAAACTTAACTCGTTAATCTATAAAGTTCACTCGCAGAAAACAGTTTACAATTAAGGTGTCCTTTGGCAAAATTTATAGTTTATTGTTTTTTTTTTTACAAGAAATAATAAATATGTTTATGTTTATGTTTACTTTCAGTAAAAACGAAAACAAAAATATGTTTTCTATATAAGTATTTTAAAATTATATTTTGAAAACAAGTGAAAATGGAAGTTTCAGAATGTGATTGTCGACGGTTAGAGATGGTAGTTAGAGGTGGTTGTTGGTAACGAGAGGTAATGACTAGAGGTAGTTATTGGCCACAAGAAATTATTAGAGATGATGGCCTGTCAACCGCCTAAAGTTGTAATTGAAAGTGATTTTCAATAAAAAGTGGTGGTCAAAGATTGTTATCGCCAGTAAGAGATAGTTTGTGGCGATGGAAGGTAATTAGTGGTTGAGGGATGTGGTGGCCGCACTACTACCAAATCATAAATAGATTATGGATTTTAAGTATGATGTACTTTATTTAATCATCGATTTTTTATTTTGTCAAAGTGTGATATTTGAGAGTGTGGTTGTTAAGGATCATTTTTTTCACACTTTTTGACTGTCATTAAAAGATAATTCCATCATTTGTTTTGACTGTGATAATAAACATTTAGATCACAAATTTTAAGTGTGATTTATAATCAATAAAACCTAAGATTAAACTTACATAATCCATGATTAATAATGAGATAATATCACAGTTATATATATTTCTCATCATGGTTAGTGCGATAAAAAAAAAAGATTCAATCACAAAATGTGACTATCAATTATAGAGTATAGATTGTGATTAAAATCTAAACAGAAGTAATATCTAAAACATAATCAATATTATCTGTATAAAAATTTCCTTCGAATCACAATATTGACCACATATGAATAGCTAAAAACCTCATATATTTCATAAATAAAACTCGAATTTTGCAAAAAATATATACAATGAAAATTAAGGAATAAAAGGTTTTTTTTACTGTGATTACACAATAAAATCTCAATAAAAAAATAAAAAAAAATTAAGGAAAACTCAAAGTTCTTGAATATGCGGTCTTCTTTTACCATATTTTCCATCTCTCCAAGTAATTTCTGACTTGAATAATGAAAACACAAATTAGTTCAGAAGTCGCCAGAAGCATAGAAATAAACTTATTAATTTGTTCAAAATTAAAGAAAACAAAAATTAGAAGAAAAAAATCTAAAAAGTTCATAGAATTTATCAGAGTTCGAATTAATCAACTAGACTTGAAATTAAATGCAGGGGTAACACCATCCAGATACATCAACTGGATAGGTAAGGAAAAATATAAAATTCTTGAGAAGTGGTCTAAGAACAAAGAAGAACAGATTAAAATGGAGAGAGGGCTGAGTAATACACTACACAAAAGAGGGATACTTTAGTGTTTTGTTGACATGTGAAGCATTTTCCAGTAAAGAAATATCACAGAATCACATTACTCTTAAAAATCAATACCAATTGAAGTAACAGAGCAGCTAAAAATAAAAACCTTATGCTTGACAATGGGAAAGGGTCATGAACTTTAGAAGATGAAAAGATGGTTCATTAATCTCAGAACATGGCGCTATATATGAAGGAATGAATCATAGAGGAAGGAATAAATCACAGCGAGGACGAGATTTCAATTAAGAAGTTAATTGTAACTTTGACATAAGGCCCAGCGATGTTTGCCATTTTCAGAGTGTTGTATTACAGTTATTGCCTCCTCTATGAAAAAAAAAAAAAAAAAAAAGAGAGAGAGAGAGAGAGAGAGAGAAGAAGAAAGAACAAATACACTCTGATTAGTGTAAACAATCTCTAAAACATTATGATTAAGCAAGAAGCTGAACAGAGGCACTACATTTTAATCAAAAATGCAAAGGAATCAACATGAAGAAGCACATGAGATCACCATATACATAGGAAAATTTATATGTGTATATATATACACACAGTAAAGTCACAAACATTTAGTAGTAGGCAAGCACTTTGTAAAGGTCTTCTAATAAACTATATTTGCATTCAAAAAGCCACCTAGAATTGGAGACCTAAAAGAAGTGACAACAAAGCAAAATGGATCAAAGGTCAACAAGATTTGAGTCAACTTGCTTGGCTAATAATGCAAAGATATATTATAATTATAGGCAGCTTCCATGCATGCTGCTAATTGTTGGTTAGTGTGTTTATGCTAGTGAATGCTCTTGGCGAACTGATGCTTGTAAAAACAAGACTTCAACTCAAGCTATTCAATTTCCTTCTTGGAATTTTGTTTCTCCTGTAGAACAAAGAATGATGTCATTAATGAGCACTCAAACAAGTTCATGGATGACAACAAAGCAAATGACCATAAGAACTTCGCTTGTTTACAGCCCTATAACATGAGCACTAGGCAAGCAAATGAATGAAGCATTCACAATCTAAAAAAATATTCATCAACAACATCAAGTTTCAAAGCATGAAAAAGAATTGTCTAGAACATCTAAAGAATGAGAAACAGATAAAACTATCATATTGAGTATCTAAAGTCAGTTACAAAAGAAGTTGTAATTCCTATCATTGGTAGAGATATAAACTGGAATAGCATACCTAGATCTTCTCGAGCTACTGCTTCAACTGATTATTTAGCTCTCCCTGTTGAGCTGCACATGCTCTAAAGTTGTAGAAACACCAAAGATTAAGTGCACGTCTGTGTATCCAACCCAAATTGCCATGTAACAGATGGCAGCACACGACCCAACAAGCTGCAGAAGTTAGTTGCAAAAACTAGAACACATGACAAACACAAATTACTGAAATCAAAAAGGAAGAGAAAAATGAGAACCACAAATAAGCTTTAGCTAAAGAATCTATAAGTTCAGAGCATCCCCATGAACTATGAAGGGTCATATCTCGGCCCAAAATTAGAAAGACAATGACACTAACCTACAGGCATATAAATATAGACACCTAGATTATACACTCACATAATGAGATTAAATTATTAGAAAGTTAAAGCACCTAGAACTAATGTAGCATGAACGCTCGACTTTCAGAAAATTAAAAGCTCAAGTCACATATGACACATTTGAAATATATGTAAATACTCAATTTATGGTGTACATCAGCCTACCTTGATACATGTTTATTCACTTACAAGAACTTTACCTTCTTATATGAGCTAAACATTTCATAAAATAAAAAAAACTCAAATAAAATACCACACATTGAAAGATATGTAAACACTCTAGTCAAACAAATCATAAACCTACCAAATTTAGCATTGTCATGAGTTATGGCGTACATCAGCCTACCTTAATACATGTTTATTTACTTGTTGTAAGAGCTTTACCTTCTTATAAGAACTAAATATATGCACATGTCTCTTGACCTTATTTCTGCCACTAGCACCTGGTTCAGGAGAATAATACCTAAATGGGAGCATAAGCCAAAGCACCTGGTTCAGGAGAACTTTCCCTGCCTAGTGCTCATGTTGTTGATGAAATTTGGTAATGCTTCACTCAATATAGAGAATATTCCAAATGCTTCACTCAATGCGATGAAGAAAGTGTTTTTCCCTTGATTTGATAAGCATTGTATGAAAAGGTTGGAGATGGATTTTGAGCAATTTTTAATCAAATTTAAATTTGATAGACCAAAAAAAAAAAAAAAAAGCTTGAGGATTGATAAATAACTTTTTTAGTTGCAGCAGAGCATACTGCTAATTTTTTACCCTATAATCGTCAACCAAAAAGGTTAATTTAAATATGATTCTTCATGTAAGAAAGGGAACATGGAATTTGACTAATATTGGCAATAAAAGTAGTCTTCCTAATTAACTGTGGATAACAGATGCAAATACAATGAAAACTTAAGAGCCCTGACAAAGTGACGATTGCATTTATAAGGTAAAATGTCTATCTTACAGCAGCCTTGGCCCCATCCATCAATCTCAAAACTCCAGGTCTGGGCTCCACTTGCCCATTAACAAGACAAATCCATTTTCTTGGAAATCATTCATCCAGAATAATCACCCACATAGATGAACTAACAAGTAATCATAAATGAAGAGCAAATAAATTCCTACTTACAGTTCCAGATTTGATAATTTCCTTGTATCTTTCAGTCTTTCAATCCTACAGATAAATAACCCTAAAACAGTCCAAAAATATAGCCAACTAACTGATGATACAGATTAAAAAAATCTCTTCGATTTGGAGGAATTTACCAGAGATTAGCATAAATATAGCCAATTCATCTCTATTAAAAACCATGATCTCTTCCCCCTTTTCCCCTAAATTCTTCTCTCCAATAGGAGAGCTTCAAGAATAATTACAACAAAACTGATATTGGTAACTTTGAGAAACCCTCTCTTTGCTTACAAAAGAAAGAAACCCTCACTCAACCAAATTAGAAAGAAAGGAAATTTTGCTAACAAAAATTGACTTACTTAAATTATTATTATTATTATTTTATATAGCGATCCCAGTTTTCCCTTCATTGTTTAACAGTGTTCCAGACTTAGGTTCCGTGGAGTTGGTTGTTGTATATGTCTTGTTGTCATCCTTTAATTCCTTATATTTGAGTTTTAGGATGTGTTGGGCGTGTTTCAAACAGGTTGGTTGAGCTTTAGTCCCATTACTTGTTGCCCAGATTTTTGGTGGTCCGCTCGAGCTGGTCCATTTGCGCTCGAGTCGAGTTTACACACTTTCAGCATTTTGTGCCCCTGCAAAACTTCTGCAGGTGTGTTTTTCATGCTCGAGCGGATTTTCTTACGCTCGAGCGGGCCTCTTGGCGCTCGAGCGGGTGTTCGATGTCTGTAAAAGTACTGGAGGAGTGTAATCTACGCTCGAGCGGCTTTTCATTCGCGCTCGAGCGGGTGCGTTTTGCAGTTGTGTCTTGGCGCTCGAGCAGGCATTTTTGCGCTCGAGCGGGTTCAGTTTTTTATGCTTGACGCTCGAGGGTCCTGTTCTCTGCTCGAGCGGACTAGTCATATATCAGTTGGCAGCTGGGTCTTTGTGGATCACTTTCTAGACACACACACTCTCTCTCTCTTACTTTTCAAAAACACATTTTGAGAGCTTCTCTCTCTACATTTCACATTCTCTCTAGGGTTTGATTTAGTTAGAGTGATCTCCTACCCTTGAACCTTTACAAAAGTGTAGAGCTTGGTGTGGGCTTCCTATCAATCTGAAAATCTTTGGATTTGGAGCATATTCGAGTTTCTCACCTTCTCCTTTGGGTCTCATCTCTTGAGGTAGGGATTCATACTCATCTTTATGATCTTTAACCTAAATGTGGAGCTTTTTGTATAAATGGTTTGGTTTGGGAAGTTGGGGTTTGTAATGTGTATATTGGAAAGTAGGGTTTTGTTCTTTTGATTCAAACTTATGTGTTTTGGGTCTAAAAAGGAGGTTATTGTTGTTGTTGGTAATATTTGGACCTTTGGATCAATATTGAGAAAAAGGGAAAAAATGCCATGTTTGGGTATATTTGGGTCATTAGTGTAATTAATGACAATTATTATGGAAATATGAAATTGAGTTGGAAATAATGAAATTGGCTCATTATGAGGTAGAATGGTGGAGTTGGATTTATTAATCGCTCACTTTGAAAATGTTGGAATTATATATATCTGTTGAGGCATTTATTATCTATTTAGAAATAACTGCTTTGGGCTATCAGTGGAGGATAGTCTTGATTGTTGTAGACAATGCATGATAATTAGGCGAACTAAAACTAATCAATTGAATATGTCATCGAATATGACGGTTGGAATAATACATCAAATTCATGTATTGATTGATAATGTATATGATATGTGTTTATATACATTGTGTTGTATGGGAGGAGATAGGGGATGTACTCCACGGTTTAGGGGAAGATAGGGGATGGACTCCTAAACCGGATACTGTTTGGGAGGAGATAGGGGACGGACTCCATCGATACAGCAATTTTATGTATCTATTGAAGTATTGATACAGCGAATCCGTGTATCATATATGAAGTACGGAAGTTTTTTGTTTGAGATTGATACAACAATTATGTGTATCTAGTGTGAAGTATGAAATGTTTAATTTGAGTTGTTATCTCAATTGAAATGGAAGAATTATTGATATGAGATGTAATCTCACTTAAAGTATATGGCCAGGTTCTGAGCCAGGGTTATGAATTGAGAAATTGGATAAGAAATGAAAAATGGAATGAAACATGGACACATTTGTCGTGTAATTGAAATGGGTTATGAATTGATTTATGTGAGCTAAACATTTATCAAATGCTAATGTTTTAGTTATTGATCATATCATGTTTAGCATATCTCTACTGGGCGTTGGCTCACCCTATATGGGACATCATTTTCAGGTTCAGGTAGTATGCTGCCTTCGAGGTCATAGCTTGGATGGTTGTGGGAGTTGAAGACTGTTTTGTTTATTTTTGTGTATTACATGTATATCAAGCCAAGGGCTTATTTTGAGTAGAGTTAGTACTCTTTTTTTTGTAACCAAGTGTTGGCTTGGAAAGTTGTAAGCCCGTGGGGCATTTACTTTTGTTGTCAACATGTAATACTTTTGGATTAAACACTCTGGTGGATAGAAATATGTCTATTTATCTTACATTTATGGATGTCGTGAATGCATGATTTATGGGTTTATTTTGAGGGCGTTACAACTGGGTATCAGAGCATACCGGGTTTGAATACTTTGGGTACGTGGGAAGTGATTAGTATCACAATGGGTTTGTCTCACTTGTTAGAGACTTATATGTAATGTTTTGTGCTTATGTGATAACATGTTTATGTGACTATATGGGTATGGGATTTAGTTTCTAGGATGTTGATTGGATCCTTGGGTTTCTATGAGTCTTGTTGGAAAAGCACTTGATCAATGCTGTTTCTAACCGGAACTCTAGTAACGCCTCGGGACTATCATTATTCGGAAATGAAATTCGTAAGTGCTTATGTGATTATGTGCTTACGTGGAGTGAATTACAATTGTCCATGCAATAGGACGCGAGTGTTTTAGCTTCGGCACATTTATGAATGTGCTAATATTCTTTGTTACCTTTATTAAGATGTCAGGACGAGGATGAGGACGTGGAGGTAGACGTGGTAGGCAGGAGATGCCTTTATCGGATGATATTCCAGCGCAGCAAGAGGGTGTTGGTCAGGCCAATGTGGCCGAGCCAGTAGGTCAGCAGGCCATGGGTGCCTTAGCTCGCGAGATAGCAGGAGCCTTGAGGGAATCCATGGGCATTCTCAGAGCCGAGAATCCAGTTCAGGCCCAGGTTGTTAATGTAGGGCCTTCATTTCTGAAGAGGGAGTTTTTTCGGTCTAATCCGAACGAGTTTGTGGGGAATCCAAAAGAGCCACTAAAAGCTGATGAATGGTTCGAGCAGATGACGAAGACGTTTGAGATGCTTGGTATCGAGGACGGGGCTTTGAAGGTGACCTTGGCATCTTTCCAGCTTAAGGGGGATGCGAGTCCGTAGTGGAAGTACATGAGGGGTCGTATTGGAGGCACGTGGGAGGCTTTTGTAAATGCTTTCCAAGAGAAGTTTCTATCTCCAACTACCAAGGAGAAGTTGAGAGACCAGTTTTGTCAGCTCAAGCAGCTGAGTTTATCAGTGGCCGAGTTTGAGGCCGCATTTACTAGTTTATCCAGGTTTGCACCTGAGCTTGTGGCGTCTGAGTAACGCCGTTGTCTGGAGTTTGAGAAGAAGTTGAGGCATGGCCTCAAGATGAGAGTTGGGGGTTCTATGACCAGGGATTATGGGCGCCTTGTGGATGCTGCGGCCCATATGGAGATTATGATACAGGAGGAGGAGGAGAGACAGAGGGGCTCCAAGAGGAGTCAGGATGGCCAGGGTGATGGTAGGAGATAGAGGGGTTCTAACCCTCAGCAGTCTCAGGGTGGTTTTTCTAGATCGACCTTTCCAGTACCAAGTTCGGGTTCTGGGAGAGGCAGTCAGGGAGACATCACCTGTTACAAATGTGGTAAGCTGGGCCACAAGTCTCCAGCTTGCCCGAAGAAGGGCGGAGGGCAGAGAGCAGCTTTATCTTCGACTCGACCTCAGAGCTAGAGTCAGGACAGAGGCCAGCCACTCTCTTGTTACCAGTGTGGTCAGGCGGGGCACCTGAAGAGGTTTTGCCCGCAGTTGAGTGGCACTTCTGGTGCATCTGGATAGAGGCAGAGTTTTCAGCCAACTCAGTCAGTTCAGGCCTCGAGGGCCAATCAGGGAGCTTCATCGTCCCAGTCTGTGCAGCAGTCTTTTGCTCCTAGAGGTGAGCAGGTAGATCAGGGCCTACAGGGTGTGTGTATGCTGTTATCGCGCAGGATCTTGTACCGTCTCCATCTGTTGTGAGAGGTACCTTTTTGTTTTGCAACTCAGTTGCCAATGTGTTGATTGATACGGGTGCATCCCATTGTTTTATATCTGTTGCATTTGCATCTGTTTTGGGTTTGGAGTTGGCACAGTTAACATCTCCTATTTGTGTTGTATCACCTGTTGGGGGTGAGTTGATTCTGAAACAAGGGTGTAGAGGGTGCGATATAGAGGTCGCAGACCGCCAGCTTCCATTTTCTTTCGTAGTAATGGCTATGTCGGGTTTTGATGTTATTTTGGGTATGGACTGGTTATCGTCATACTGGGCTATTATTGATTGCTACCACCAGAGGGTCACAGTATATACCTTGAGCGGAGATTGTTTCCATTTCTTAGGGGATCGGGTTAGTAGGGTGTTGCCACTGGTGTATGATCCGCGAGGGCGGAGTGAGCTTAGTGGTCTTCTCGCTAGCCTTATGAGTAGTGAGTGTGATGAGACCGAGGTTGAGTTGCCGAGAATGGTTTGTGAGTACTCGGACGTCTTTTCCCGAGGACCTTGTTAGTTTGCCACCATATCGAGAGATAGAGTTCTCCATTGATTTAGTGCCCGGCACGACGCCGATTTCTATGGCACCTTACCGTTTTGCCCTAGCCGAGTTGAGTGAATTGAAGATTCAGCTCCAAGAGTTGTTGGCTAAGGGTTTTGTCCGCCCTAATGTTTCGCCGTGGGGAGCACCGACCCTCTTTGCTAAAAAGAAAGATGGTGCCTTGAGACTTTGTATCGATTACAGGAAGTTGAATCGGGCTACGGTCAAGAATAAGTACCCTAT